CCGGATGGGACTACAACAGAGCAAGTGCGTGACTTTTTACAAGAATTTTCAATTGGGGAGATTACTTTATTAGAGGATGTGCCTTTAATCACTATAATTACTCCGTCATATTCCGAGTCAAAGAAAATTCCTCAGCAAATTATTTTGGAGAAGTTTGGCAATGCGAAATTGGTGTTTGAGAGCATACTGAGTTTGAAGTACATTTCAAATACTATTTGCGACAAGAAAGACGCACAACACAACGAAAATGCACAACATGAAATTCGACAAATGAATGAAGAAAGTACACAACAAGAAGTGACACAACAAACACTGCAATCAAACGATTCAAACAACACACAAATGCAAACAACACAAAAATTGAAATGCTCTATTTGTGGGCAACTGGGGCATACACACCAAAATTGTACTTGCACAAAACAGCAACAAGAAGAACTTGAAAAGGTGCGACAAGAAAATTTGAAAGCAAATGAAGAAGGAAAGACTGAAAAGATAGAAAAGAAAGAGTCTGGCGTCGTGAGAGAACACCCAGAAAAGACTTCTCAAACCGCTGATACACATAAAAAGTCAATCGATGTCAAAACGGAAGTACTTGTAAAGGAAATCCACAAAGAAACAGAAATTGAACCAAATAACTTAAAGGAAATGGTTCGTGATTTGGTCAATGAGGTTAAAAGTGAGATTGAAAAAAAAGAATTTAGAATATAAATTAAAAAGGTATTACATCGAGCTTAGAATAGTTACTTTATTATTGAATGAATTGTTTTAATGATAATTTATATAAGAAAAAACCCGCAATAAAATTATTAATACAAAGCTTTTTCATTAAATTGGTTTTTTTTTATATAAAACTATAAAATAGTTTTGTGATTAAAATGATGATACTAAAAACCGCGATTTAGTGATAAAAAAAACATCAAATTTTTAATGAGAGCAAACAATACATTTAAATTAAGTCCTTTTTTATTATTAAAAGTCTATAAACATTCAGCTTCATTGTTTAACATATTATTTTGAAATTTTCTTTCTGAGTGTTCAAAGGAGTGTTCTTTATTATAGACGTAATCTATGATTAAATTAATCAAATAATTTAAATTTTATTTTATTTTCCTGTTCCTTCTTCCTAAAATTATCTAACTTCATTACATTGACTATTTTATTGTTTAAACATTGTATTAAAATACTTGAGTTTTTAAAAAACGCAAAGTCTGCACGGCGGTTTTTAAGAGATCAACGATTGTAACAGAGATGTTCTTTTTGCTTGTGATGTTGTTATCATTGATTATGCTTTGCAATTAATAATTAATTAATAAATGTTTGATTGTATAATAATTTTTAATAATAATATAATATTATAATTATAATATTTATTATAATAATAAATATTATATATTAAGATTATTATTATTATAATTATAATAAACACAAAACCCAGTGATTTAGATTCTAAAACAACTCAAGAAGCGTCTGGAGTTGTTCTGCCACTTTTTCAATTTTAATTCTCTTATCAGCTTCACTTTCCCACATCTTTGAAATGATGTTGTAAGCGTCTTGGTTCATATTGTCAAGGCATTCCAGTCTTTTTCCACTTGTAACAAAGTCTGCGATACTCCAAGCAAATTTGAACCTTTGTTTTGGATATGCTTCACCCCATATAAGTGCTTCATAGAACGTGACTCCCAGAGAATAGACATCAGACGACATTTTATAGTGTTGTTTGTTCAAGACTTCAGGCGCCATATATTTAGGAGTCCCAATCCCTTTAGTAAATGTCATATTAGTCATCATTTGATTGACGTTTCTAGATGACCCGAAATCAGTCAATTTGCCATTAGCTTTGATGTTCTCTTCCAATGTAATAACAAGAATATTATCTGGTTTGATGTCTCTGTGTAAGATGCCATTTTCATGTAAATATAGAATACCTTTTGTAGCATCTAAGATGATCTTCACCTTCATCTTGTCTGCTATTTGTTGCTCTTTATTAAACATATCGGCCAAACTTCCATGTTCCGCAAATTCGGTGACCATACACACATGACTTGGGATGTAACACGCTCCATAAAAGTGGATAATGTAATCACTTCTAAATTTGTCTAACATTGCAACTTCCTTTGTAAACTCCTCTATTGCACTCTTTGTCGCTTGTGCGTTCTTCATCTTCTTGATTGCCACTGTCTTTTCGTGGTATTTCCCTTTGTAAACGATACCAAAAGAGCCTTCACCAAGCTTCTTTTCATCAATCAACTCATGATAATCCAATTTTGTGGAGTTCGCAGTGGACGTCTCGACTTTGATCTTCTCGTTATATTGTACACCAGTTTCTATGTCAAGTGCAATGACCATAATATCTTCTTCTAAATGGCATGAACACAAAGGCTTGATAAATATCTCAAATTCACAAGCTTCTCCTCTTTTTAAAGTTATTAAAGTTGGCACTGTCCGTATTTCATAGTGGTCACACCCTTCTATAACACTAAACTGGACTTTCATGTTGTGTTTTGATGTGTTTCCAATACATATCAAATCCCTTGTTTCTTCATCTACTGGAATAGAAGAGTCATCCTCTAAATTGAATTTAATCAACTTCTTATTTGAAGATAGAACTGAATTGATTTGAACCATTTCAATGTTCGATCGCTTCATTTCAAAGACACAGATGTTTTTCATTTTCTTCTTCTCCTTTCGACTTAATATGAGGAGGTAGACTACAACTAATATCAATGCGATAATGATTATAAAGAAGATAAAGATGGCTACAGGTATACCAATAACTACTCCATAATTCGTCTTAGAAACACAACTCTCACCATCATCTGAGACTTTGTTACTCCCTTCGCATGAAGTACACTTCGAGTTGTCTGCTGATGTACAATGTAATACGGTGTGGTAATCGACACAACCTCCTTTAACTAAGATTTCATCGACTCCACAGGATAAACACTCTTCACTATTTACACAAGTCGCACAACTTTCTTTGCATGAAAAACAGCGTCCATTTTGTAAGAAGAAAGACTCATTACATAGTATACACCCTTCGAGATTTGATTGTAAACAGTTTGAGAGTGTTGTGTTTGATGAACATAATTTGTTTGATTCACTTTGAATTTTGAAATACCCATCTTTACAAGACAAACACTCGTCTTTCTTCAAACACATATCACACGACTCGTCACACGCATCACAATCTTTCTCGACTTTGTAATACCCAACTTTGCAAATAGCGCAACCTCCACCAGCTGGTAATGTCACTTCACACTTTTTGGCCAATTCACCAAGTGTCTGGCATTTCATAGACAAGTCAAGGAAGTATCCACGGTTACATACGGTGCAATATGTTGCATTGTAGCAACTCAGACAGTCATTCACACACTTCTCACAACTGTTTTTGTTCAGGTAATACCCATTTGGACATCGCTGACATCCTTTGTTGTTTCGTGTCAAACAGTCGACTTCTTCTTGTTTTTTTAGTGCACTTTTCATGTTGTACACTGACGTCTTTGTTTCGTTGACTTTATTGAGATCGTCAAATTGTTCAGCACACACACCACCTTTCATGTTGAAGGCGTCTTGGCACTCAATGCATTTTGTTGTGTTGAGTGAGTAGTATTTGCAGTGCAACTCAACATCCGCTTTTGTGCAGAAGTCGTACTTGCCTTCAATATTCTTTGTGTCAACTTGGTAATACCCAGCCTCACACTGTGCACACCCACTCTGGCTTGTGCGTTTACAGTTGACTTGTTCTTTGTTAACACATCGATTAGTGCTGTACATCAAGTAATTCACTTTGCATATTTGACACGTTCCTCCAACACAGATATCACAGTTTTCAGTCTCGCATTTCGAACACTTTCCTTTGCTAATTTCCATGTCATTTTGTTTGCATTGGACACACAGCCCATCGACAACTGAATTGCATTGCGTATAGGTGGTGCACGCCATCTGTTCTATATCAAGTATTGTCGAATCGCCACATTTCAAATACTTGTTTTGAGTTGCACACACTGCATTTGATCCACCACAACTGTCACACGTGTTTTGTGTTGTCAAATACGTTCCTGCTTTACAACCGAAAACCACTCCGTTTCTCACCAACCCATACACACTCTGTTGTTCACACACATTACCATTATTCAAAGTATAATTATCAACACATGTAATACACGTTGAAACACCCTTCTTGGATTTCTGGTATTTACAGCGATTTATTTGTACTGTACATTTTGAGTTGATCGAGATTTGGTCTGAACAGTCACACGAAGTTAAAGTTGGTGACTCACAACTACCAGAGGAAACGCATTTTGAGTTGGAAACAAAGAAGGTGTCACTGCAGTCCAGACAACTTTCTTTGTTTAATAAAATGTCACAATTAATATCATTCTTAACACACTTTGGGGTGCCTGTTGTGTTGTCAAAGTATTCATTCGGTTGGCACAATTCACATTTGGTGTCATTCAAAACGTAAGGGGAAATGCACAAGTTACATCTTGCTTTGCCAACAGAAATTGTATCACACGTGTTGCAATTGTCAATTGTGTTGTAACACTTTGAACATGTTGTCTCGCTGAACTTGTGTTCTCCAATTGGACAGCTTTCACAACCGCCACTCTTCTGAATAAACGGATCTTTGCACGTCAGGCACTTCTTTGCATCAGACGAACATGCGTTGCAATCTGGTATTGTGGAACACGCAACACATTTGCCAGATGCTTCATCTGGATAGTACCCAATTGTACACACTTTGCACTTCCTTGAAAAGTCTGGCGAACAGGTGATGCAGTTTGTGTCAAATGATTTGCAGGTAACACACACTTTGTCTGGCGGGTCAGTGAAGACGTTGTTTGTAGCACATCCTGTGCAGACACCAGTTGCTGTGTTGCATTGCCCATTACAACTTGCGTCACAATCAACACATATATGACTTACAGTGTTTGGATACATCCCACTCACACACATTGCACACTCTCTCTTATCACTAACACATTTTGCACAATTGGTGTCAAAAGTTCTGCACGTGACACATTTGTTGGTGATTGGCGATGTTGGTACATACCCACTTGTGCACCCAGCACACACTCCTGTTATTGTGTCACATTTGCCACCACATGTTGCGTCACAGCTCTGGCACTTAAAATCATCAGATGTCTTCGGGTAATACCCTGCCTTACAGACACTGCACTTCCTCTCTGCACCACCTGGACACTCAGCACAATACGTGTCAAACTGTTCGCATGGTATGCAGTGCTGTGATGGTGATGCAGACAACACAAATCCAGTTGCACATGACATGCAGTATCCAGTGCTTCCATCACAACTGTTTGCACACGTGGAGTCACACAAAACACATGTACCATTATTATCAGGACGATACTTCGTGTCACACGTAACACACCTTCTTTCAAATGTTGTCGAGCAAGTTGTGCAGTGCTGATCAAATGATTTGCAACTCTCACAGACAAGACTTGTTGCACTGACAAAGACGTAGTTTGACAAGCAGCTCTTGCAATAGCCAGTCTCTGTGTTACAGTTTCCATTGCATGTCGTGTTGCATTGTTGGCATCTTTTCTCGCCATTCAGTTGAAATACGGGGTAATTGTTTGTTGTGCATTTGACGCAGTTGCGTGTTGCATCGCTTGCACACGTCACACACAGCGAGTCGAAGGTGCTGCAAGTCTCACACGTGTCAGTGCTGCCAGCCTGTACAACACTGTTTTCACTACATGACTTGCACTTCCCAGTCACACCATCGCAGTTTTCACACACTTCATCACATTTCACACAGACACCATCAACTGAGTACTTGTTGTTCTTGCAGACAGTGCACTTCTTCTCATAGTTGCTGTCGCACGTCTCACAATCCGCATTGAAGGCAGCACAGCTGATGCAGCTCATCCCGTTCTTGACATACCCATCAAGACACCCAGTGCAGACACCCGTTGTTGTGTCGCACTTACCACCACACGTGTTGTCACACAAAATGCACTTCCCATTGCTGTCTGGGTAATACCCTGTTATACACGAAATACATTTCTCATTGCCAAAGTTGTTATCACAAATAGAACAGTTTGCATCAAGCAACGAACACGCTCTGCACGTCTTTGTGTTGCTTGGGTTGTAGACGTGGTTGGATGAACAGCCGGTGCACACCCCACTTACTGTGTTACACTTCCCACCACATGTTGTATCACACAGTCCACATCTCCCATCACTCTGTGGGAAGTAACCAACCATACAATTTGTGCAAATGCGGCTTCCATTTGACGCACATGAGTTTGCTTGGCAGTGATTGTCGAATGTCTGGCAGCTCTCACACACTTTTGAAACAGGACTTGTCAACACATATCCAGACAAACAACTTCGACAGTTCCCGTTGGTTGGGTCACATTTTCCATTGCATGGCAAATCGCATGGCACACATATTCCGTTTTGTGGATACATCGCATCTGTTTTGCATGTTGTGCATGTTCGCGTAAATGTACTTGCACACTGCAAACAGTTCGAATCAAACAACTCACATGACTGACACAACTTGGTGTCGCTTGCACTTGGGACGTATTGTGTAACACACTTTGAGCACACACCAGTGATTGGGCTGCACGTCTCACACCCAGATGCACACTTGACACACACACCGTCACTGCCCGGGTAATACGTGTCTTCACACTGGTAACATCGCCGCGTGTTATCTGAGGCACAGGTGATGCAATTTGTGTCAAATGATTTGCAGGTAACACACACTTTGTCTGGTGGGTCATTAAAGACATAGTTTGTAACACAGCCTGTACAGACACCAGTTGATGTGTTGCACTGCCCATTACATGTTGCGTCACATGGGGTGCATGTCCCACTTGTGTTTGGATACATTCCACTCTGACAGTTGATGCACTTTCGCTGGTCTGTTTCACACTCAACACAATTTGTGTCAAAAGTTCTGCACGTCTCACATTTGTTGGTGATTGGCGATGTTGGTACATACCCACTTGTGCACCCAGCACACACTCCAGTTGTTGTATCACACTTTCCACCACATGTTGCATCACAGCTCTGACACATGTAGTCGCCAGATGTCTTCGGGTAATACCCTGCCTTACATTGTTTGCACTTCCTAGTTGAGTCTGATGAACAGAAGGCGCAATTGGTATCAAATGTTGAACAACTCTCGCATTGGTCAGTCTTTGTGCTCTGAAACACATAATTTGTATCACACTGGTTGCAAATCCCACTCGTTGGGTCACACGCACCAGATACACAGTGCAACCCACACCCAACACACTTCCCACTTGTTGTGTTTGGACGAAGACCGCTTTTGCATGTTATACAAAGACGACTTGAATCAGAAATACACGTCTCACAATTTGAATCAAAAGTGGAACACATCTCACATCGTATCGATATCGGTTCTGTGACAACCCAATTTGCTGTTGAACACTTTTTACAGCCACCATTTGTAGTGTCACAATCGGCACATGTTGAGTCACAATTAACACAAACAACATCATTATTTTGTTGTTCAGATGGGTACATCTGGCTATTGCAATTTATACAAGTGCGGGTGTTGTTTGTTGTACATTGAATACATTTTGTGTCGAAATTTGAACATTCTTGACAAGTTGTTTGTGTTGGGTTATAAGGAACATAGCCACTCACACATTTAGTACAAATTCCACTTGTTCCATCACAGTTGTCCAAACAAGTTGAATCACATTTGATGCAAGTCCCATTACTGGCAGGTCTGTACTTATCTTTACAAGTTATACACTTTCTCTCTCCATTTGAAGCACATGTCTGGCAATTCGGGTCAAATGTTTGACAAGACTCACATATTAAAGACTGTTTATCAAGTTTTAAAACATAACCAAGTTTGCACGAAGTACAATACCCGTATTGTTGATCACATTTATTACCACATGTATCATCACATTGTTGACATGTAAATGGTGAATTGGTTTGTGGGTAATAACCAACTTTACATTTGTCACATTTTCTGGATGTTTTTGAGCACGTTTCACAATTAGAATCAAAATCAGAACATGAACCACACGTTATTCCTGGAGGTGTTGTTTTTGTGTATCCATCAGCGCATGTTTGACATACTCCAGTGACAGTGTTACACCCATTTGATTCACACGTTGAAGAACATTTGATACACATGTCAGTCGAAGAAGATGGATAGTACCCACTTTGACACTCATAACATTTTCTAAGAAAATTTGAATCACATGTTTTACAATTCGAGTCAAAAGAAGAACAAAAATCACATTCGGGGGTTTTGGGATTTTGGAACACATAGTTTTGCTGGCATGATATACACTCTGGACTTGTTGTAGAACACCGAGAACATGTGTTGGGACACGTTACACAAACTCCATTTTCAAAATAAAACCCAGTATTACATGCCGAACAACCGCCAGAAGTACAAGAAAAACATCCAACTCCACATGGAATACATTGATATTCGAAATACTGTTGATCATTATTCCAAACTTGTTTTCCATAATAATTTTTTAAACACGTTCCTTCTTTACACCCATTACTGTAACAAGAAGAACACCCATTACATCGATTACAAATACCATTTTTGGTATAATAGCCTTGTTTGCATTGGTGGCAATTGTTGTCATAATAATACGGATAATTGCTTAAGCACTGATTACAAACCCCAGCATTTCCTTTTGATTTACCTACTCCATTGTCACAATTCTGGACACTGCAATAACCATTTGTGTCAACAGTATTTTCGTTGTTGGCGCCACACCACCAATACTGCCTCGTTGTCAAAATGTTTGCACATTGGACTGTATTGCTATAGGTTGTGTTATACATGGGGCTAAACCCATTTTCACAATATTTGCAACTATTTAATGTATCATGACAAATTGAACAATGGTTGTTATAAAAACCATTACATTTAATTCCTCCACTTTTTAAAAAAGAAGTTTTGTTTTTTGGTGTTTTCGAAATGTCATTAAATATAAAAAATTCAGATTTTTTAACATTTTTGTTTACCAACTCTTCGTCCTTCTTTTGAATGAGAAGGTGTGTGTTATTCAATGATACCCATATTGAAGCCAAATCTTTTGGAATATTAATTATTAATGAAGAAACTAAAGTGCACATTATTTTGAAACTTTTTGTATCTTTACCAAAGTAACTAAGCGACTCATTTGTGTAAATAATAAAAGACGAGTCGCATTGTTTTATTTTCTTTTGAAAACATTGTAACACATCACCTTCCCAACACCAGTCAAGGGAAAGAGCAAACATAAACATGATGAAAAAGCATAACATGCTGTTACAATACTTTTTAAGTTCTTTTTTTATAAAAAAACAACGAATAGAATTTATCCTGCCGATAACAGTTGTTTAATTATAAATTTCAAAACTAATTATATTTTAGGTTTGTGTGAAAAGTACTATATTAATTAATATTATAATATTATTATTATGGTAATATTATTATACAATTTATAGAATCATTTAGAAAGTATTTAAATTGTTATTTTTTTAATGATTGTAAAAATATATTAACACTTAAAATAACGCCCTTATTTTTGTTTTGACCTGTTTTTACAGGGATATTAATCCATTTTTTGATGATTTTCCTTTTTTGGCTTGCGTATTGTTTATGCACATAATATAATCTCTAAAAAAACGGAAATTTATTTCATAAATTTGAGAGTTCCCCGATTTTTAGACCACTTGAATTTTGTTCAATGTTATTTAAAGTGTTAAATAAAATATACTTAAAAAATAAAATTGTAATTAAAAATCAAACAAAATATTAACTTTATTTTTATCATGAGAAAATAAATTTTATATTGTTAAATATAGTAATATATTATATTATTATATCTAATACAGATAAAATAATAACATTTAAGATAAACAACAGTTTTAAATTTTTTTAGTAACATTCTTTCCAACTACCACCCCGTTTACCAAAAAAAAATATTTGCCGCGAGTGTTTTTTGAAGGGAGTCCACTTTTCAGCCACTGTTTGTGCGTCCCCATGTCACCCACTTTCCTTGTCCGTACTGTGTGGACGGATGTGGTTCCCCCCACTTGGGGTGATCAGGGGGGTCCGTGCCAAGGGAGGACTTGGAAAGTGGGTGAAACGGTGCACAAACAGACTGTTTGAGTGCGGCCTTCAGAGCCTTCTTTTCAATGTTCCATCTCACTCGGTTTCCACTGACTCGAGGTGAATTTTCGGCATTTCTTGATTTCGGGAACCAAACCAAATATCATCCTAGTTTCCTATTTCCTATAATTTTAATTTGAATATTATATCAAATAGTAAAAATAAATCTATATTTAGACGGGGTGATGGTGGGAAAAGCCTTAATTATTTTGTATTTTTATTTATAAAATTTTTATTATAGTTTTAAATTTGTTAAAACAAACTATGAATTAATAACGAATAAAAACATGTTTTCAAATATGAACTTCAGATTGTTACAACCCAAAAGATATAGAAATTTCATGTGTTAAATCAATTTTATTTTTGTAAATAGGCATTTCATATTCCTCTATACCAAATAAATAAAAAAGTCCACGGCTTAATTAAATTCAATTATTTCTGGATTTATTCATTGTTGAATTGATGATGTGTAATTATCATTACCCTCAACAAATGGTGTATTCAATTATTTCAGTAATAAAGTTATCAACAAGGTATATGATGAAATAAACAAAAAAACAAATATACAACAGTGATGATACATAGGTAATTGTTGAATTGTATATTAATTTTAATAATAGTTGTTTATTACATTGAATTTATTGATTGTAAATAGTAACTTTTGTGTTCCGATTTTAACAATTGTTGAAACAAAAAATGAATTTTACAATTGTTATTAATTTTATTATGTAACAACATCAATATACATGAGTATAGTTCAACAATTTTTTTGTTTATTATTACATATCAGAGAGTTGTTATATACATTTACTTTCGATTCAATTGCTTTCAAATTGACTATTAATAATAATATTAAAATTATTTTTATTTGATATTATTTTTATTTAATTGTATTTAAGTGACAACATGAATACAATTTAAAAAATTGAATTTGTTTATTATCAACATTTATATTTTGTTCACGTGTATATCTGATTATTTATCATAAACAAGCTTAATCTATTTGTCAGTTATTATAAACAGTAAATATATAATTTATTTAAACG